CAAACAGTAGTCAGAGAACACGAGTGGAGCATTTCTCTCCCCTTCCCTTTTGCGGTTGTTTCGTTTTTTTGTGTACACAAACATCGATTTGATTGACGTCAAGTTCGAGCAGACAATCAGCTATCGCTAGCAGTTTAAAAATTCATCGAGTGGTAAAAATTGATAAAGTTAAAATGCTGGAAGGAACACAATGTCCATTATGAAAGCTATAACTATTTTGTTTCTACGATAGCGTTTATTACATTTCATTTTTTTATTTAAAAAACCTCTCCACTAGACCACGCTGAAAGCATTTTTTCTTGTTGTGAATGTATAGTCTTTTATTGTCTGACGGGTAAAAGTAAGTGTGGCTTTTCCTGTTTCTATGGCCGCAAGACTGTTACAAACTGTTATAAATATTGTGATTGATCTTTCAGTCTTGCAACAAATGTGATCAACCTTCACTATTACAATGCATGTTTTCACTCTTCACTCCTACAAAAACTGTATTCAATCTTCACCCTTACAAAAACTGTATTCAATCTTCACCCTTACAAAAACTGAGTTCAATCATCACTACTATCACAAACACGTCGTGTATCCACTAGTGCCACCATGTACACCGTGTATGTACTAGAACAGACACGTGATACCCGGCAAACAAGACGGGGTGTGGTGGAGCAGTAGAGCGTGCTAGGGTTGAACTGTGAACTTTGTTAAGAAAACATTCACCCACCCATTCACATGTCCAACATGACCCCGGGAAAGTAAAGGCGGGTGTGGGCAGGGGTTTAACCGACAGTATAGTTGTATACCAGCTGGTCATTATGCCACGTGAATTCTATCACATTCATCCCACGAACCATTAGATCACAACAGTACCTTGCTTTTTTATATATCACATTCGTCATATTTTAACATCTTTTATTTTCTGTGAACGTAAACATTCGTCCTGTTTCTCTGTTCCAACTGCTCCCTGTCCTGTCCATTCTTCCATTCACATAAACCAATCATACTTTTAACTGCCCCTGTCCATTCTTCCATTCACATAAACCAATCATACTTTTAACTGCCCCTGTCCATTCTTCCATTCACATAAACCAATCATACTTTTAACTGCCCCTGTCCATTCCTCCATTCACATAAACATAAACCAATCATACTTTTAACTGCCCCTGTCCATTCTTCCATTCACATAAACCAATCATACTTTTAACTGCCCCTGTCCATTCTTCCATTCACATAAACCAATCATACTTTTAACAGCCCCTGTCCATTCTTCCATTCACATAAACCAATCATACTTTTAACTGCCCCTGTCCATTCTTCCATTCACATAAACCAATCATACTTTTAACTGCCCCTGTCCATTCTTCCATTCACATAAACCAATCATACTGTTAACTGCCCCTGTCCTGCCCAATCTTCCATGTTACCGTGACTGGCAAATGAAAAGCCCGAGAGAAACTTCTAAGACTTGTCAGGAGATCGATATATTTTATCTGCTATTGATCTGCGATCAGACACCGCTGCGAGAAATGAAATTAACAACGTTCAAGTGGGCGCACAACACTACCTTTATCTTTAATAGCTTTAAAAAACCACTTTGATACAGCAGCAAAATAAAAAAAAAAAACAGCTCTTGTAAAATATTGATTAATTTTTACAGCTGTTTTTTTTTTTCCAATTGCGTTTGTTTTGTTTTTGTAAACGAAGACACAATTTATTAATGAACGATTAAATCAGTTTAATAATATTTCATCGATTGAAGTGGCAGGTTAAATAAAGGTGAATCATCGATTCGGTCGTGATTTTGAATAGGATCGGGTACCCAGTAAAGGTCTGAGCCTCCCCCGAATCTTCAGAATAAATACGCCCGTATAAAATCAATGCCAAGGGACAGCACGCATAACGCAACGTGTCAGGAACCTTAACTCGGTGTACCACGATCTCTTTGTTGGTAAAGTGTCTAGCTACCAGTGATGTTGTGACCCGTGTTTGTTTGGACCGCAGGGTTATGTTCATTGTATAACTGACCAGTGAAGGATTGTATTGTTTATCTAAGTGACGTTTTTTTTAAATTGGATACGTGTGCTGTTCACCTAAGTAACCAGTGTGTTAATTGGAGGAGTGTGCTCTTTATCTTAGTAACCAGTGTTTCGGTTGGAGGATTGTACACTTCATCTAAATATTTTTAAATAACCAGTGTGTTAATTGGAGGACTGTACTCTTTATCTAAGTAACCAGTGTTTCGATTGGAGGATTGTGTTGCTTACCAAGCAGCACACTGTGAATTTTTCCAGTTAATTTTATGTATGTATATTTTATTAAACACTGTTTTACTACAAGCTGTGGATTAATTTTGGCCCTAAGCCCTACTGTTGGGTGCTAAACAATAATACCGTTATAGCTCATGTTGACATTAGTACGGTACAAACAAATCTTTGTATTAGTTCAGTACAATTAGTATTGTTTACATGTTTTTCAGAGCAATCTAATGTTGCAACATCACAACACCCATGATTCATCAAGTGTTATACAAAAAAAGCTAATGAACTATAAGGACATAATTTGATCCATTTAACAAAAAATGCTTTAAAAGAATAATTACAAATATTAGTGCTTCACATACAATGTTTTAATTAGACTCCCCGGGAGACTGTCCATGGCACACAGAAACAATCGTTGTTGTGATGCCGTGAGCAGCAGACACACAGGGGGAGGTGGGATGCCGGGCGGTCATGTGACACCAACTCGCTGAATAATTCCATCCCCCCCCCCTTTACATCGGACTCGGCTGGTTACGTTCTAGGTGTCTGGTTTCCGTGTTCGACCGCTGTATCAGGCCCCTGTGTTAGGCCTCTGTGTTAGGCCTCTGTGTTAGGCCTCTGTGTTAGGCCCCTGGTTTAGGCCCCTGGTTTAGGCCTCTGTCTTAGGCCTCTGTGCTCGGCCTCTATGATAGGCCTCTGTTTTAGGCCTCTGTCTTAGGCCTCTGTGTTAGGCCTCTGTGTTAGGCCTCTGTGCTCGGTAAAGTTTTGACTTATACATGGACTGTATTTTACACAATTGAGATGGGCAAGGTTTATAGGGCGAGTAGATTGATTTTATTGGGCAAACAATTGGGGTTAAGTAGAAAAATAGTATGGGCTAACATTAAAAATCGTCGGGGCTAACTGGGCAAATAGTTAGGGCTACTTGGGAAAGTTTTCTAGGCCGATTGGGCAAGTAAACGGGACGTATTGAGCAGCTAACCGATGCTGAGAAAGTAGACAGACAACTATTGAAATTTGATTCATGGCATGAAAGTTCAAGTGCTTCTTCACCCCCTAACAATTAACCACAGGTGTTTGTCACGTGACCGAAACACATTTACGTTTGAGATTCGATACGGAGGGGGGGGGGTCTCTGAAAGCTGTAGCAGGTATCAAATCGACCAGGTGAGATTGATTCAAGTCTTGCCTGTATTTTTATATCGATCCGTCAATCACCAGGAAATGCCTATCAATCAGACGGATTAACCAGGCACAGCATTCAGCCCGGCACAGGTCTCTTTCATGTCCAGCGATAAACAACCCTAGCGTACCCCAGGCATGGCCTAGAAAACTATTTTGGGCGTCCCATTGATAGCGTTCTTTTAAAATTCATTCAAGGCATTAAAGTGCAGCTATTTTTCTCAGGCGAGTTTGAACAAAACTGTGTAAGATATACCGAGCTAGGCCTCGGGGTAAAAAGTAAAATTTAAAAAAGTAAAGGAGCTCCCAAAAATTAGTTTAACAATTTTTAAAAATTATTTTTGCGTTTCTTTAACAGTCCTTTAAGATTTGAAGACTAATCGAGCTGTCTGGTCTGTTTTGACCCCCCACCCCCACCCCAGGTATCCTCAGTCCCAGACAACACGTGCTAACTCTGCTCTGCAGTGACGCATATTATATCACATATTATATCAAAAACAATATGGTACACAATAACAACGGTTAATTAAAGAGAATTACCGAACTACGACCACCTTTTAAAAAATGTTTAGAAAGTGATATGAATCGTATCTCTTTTGAAAACGTGTTTCAATTCAGAATTTCAAAACTTTCCTCATCAATTTTCTAGCTAGGTAAATTTTTCATCTCTCCAATTTCCCAAAGAAATTCATCAATTTATAATGGTACACGCACCGATGATCTTCAGACGTTTTATGCTCTTCACTGACGAAGTTGAATTGTCTGTACCTAGCAACTGATGAGAAACTAGCAAGTACCTCATACAGTACAGCTACACAACAATCGATAGATAGGCACGCTAAAAACGAATGGTTTTATTTCTTTATTGCAGGAATGTCGACAATACCTGCGTGACATTTGTCTAGGTACCACTTCTCATTGTGTGTGTTGGTTATCAAAGCATCTCAAATTTCCAAAAGACATCCGGTTAAATGTGTAGTTGCTAATTAATTGGCATTAATTAAACATGAAAGTTCGTCATGGGGGACGCGGGGAGTGTTCAAAACAATGTTATCGGGGATGGGGTGGGTGGGGGTGCAAGGAGGAGCCTAAGCCACGGAGTCAACATTTTTGCTTCTTGCTAGATCGTCTTTTTCTTTTTTCTGCTTTTTCTATGTAATGGAACAACCAGTGTGTACATGCATGATCTATTTGAGTCTTGACTAACTGTTGCTGTTACCTTAGTTCCCTTCATATGCCGAGGTCAAGAAACATATTAACTCTACTTCATCAGCCCAATCGATCGCCAAGTCTAAAGAGGAATCTTTACTTTATCTTTTTTTTATCTACTGCTTACTTTTTAAATATCATTTTTCTAACTATGCGTTTCATTTTCAGTAGCTTCATAATTATTTTTTTGTTGGCGTATAATACGATTGGTTTTAACATTGTTTTGTTAGGTTCCCTGAAGTCTGCTGCTGTTGGTATTGCCTTGTATCTGAACGTGGTTTAATGTGAGTTATGAATATTGTCTAGGCTGACTTGAAATTGACTAAACTAGACACAATTTTTTTCCACTTTCAGATTCCTCACCACGTTGTCCAAAAATGGCGGAGTGACGCAAACATCTTGAGGAGTGCGTCACGATGGGGCTGAGCGTCAGCGCACAGAGACGATGAATGACTCCCTGACGGTTGAGCGTCAGGCGACATTCAACACCGACCCGCCGGAGGAGCGGTCTGGGAACGTCATCCGGCGAGGGGACATAGAGATCCCGATCGTTGACGATCTCGCGGTGGACAACTCTCACCGACCCCCGAGAGCTACATCACAGCAGAGGACAGACGCGCTCAAAGGAGCTAACGCTTTTTCATCGTCACAAGCTAAAAATAAACTACACAATGGATTAGCTGAGAAACAAGATTTTAAATCTCAATCTCCGCTTTCTTTGTCAATCAGAAATAAACTTAAGAAGAAGCCGAAAATAAAGATCCCAAGGCTGAAGTATGACTCCAGTCAACCGACTATTTTTGAAGAGACAAGCCAGGATTTTCTAGATATCGACACATCTGACTCAACAGAAAAAGGTACACTATCTCCGACAAGCACCGCTTCCAGTTCCAACGGCAAGAGAAAATCTGTTTCGTTCGATCTCACCCCAACAACGCTCGACAGGGAGCCATTGCTTTCTAAGTCACGTGACCGTCCCTTGAGAGCACCAGCCAATAGCACACCTCGTGGCTCCTCCAAACCTTCGCCGCAAACCAACACGCGTACGTCTAACGCTACACACAAGGTAGACGCCTCACACAAGAAGGAACTTCACGTTTCGCTGGAGAGTTCACGTCGTCGAAACAGCAACGAGTATAATTCTGATGACACCAACAATAAAGTTAAAGTTAAAAGAAGATTATCGAATTCTTTAGAGAACAGGTTAAACCAGAAACAGACGATAAACTCCGAGGAAAAAAGTGTTGAAGAATCGCCAGCGAGTGTTAACACGGAGTCCAACGAGAAAAACCTCAGAATTAAGGGCATCCTTCCGTCGGCTGGAACCTCGCCAAAAACAGAGGCCAAAAACATGGAGCATCAAACTTTTGAAGAAGTTCTCCAAGAGAGGAACGCACTGGCCAAGTCGGAAAAAGTCTATCACAAGAGAATCCGTCAACTGGAGGACGAGCTAAAGGCTATGGTTCAACAATGCGAGGCTCTATCTGATGAAAATAAAGAACTTCGACAAGCGCTGGAGCAGGAGAAGAAGACGGACGCAGGGGCAGCCTCACGCCTTAAGCAAATGGACAGCGTACTGTTGGAAAACGCTAAGCTAAAATCTCACAACGAAGAACTCACAAAAAACACACAAGATCTCGAAAAGCAAATAAGTTCTTTTAAAAGTAAAGAAAGTAAAAATTCAGATTTAGACTCTAAAAACAAAGAGCTCCAGACCAAAGTGTCTGAGTTACAGAAACAAAATGACGTACTTAAATCCAAGGTTAGCTCCTTGGGGGACGAAAAGCAAGTGATCGCAACTACCCTGGAGGAAAAGCGAAAAGAGCTGAACGAGCTCATGAGAGCGATGAAATCTGAGGCTTCATTGGAGACTAAACTTAAGGAATCTAACGTCAAACTCGAGAAAACTCTCGAAGAAATGGACGATGTGAAGAAAAAGTTAGAGGAAACACAAGATTTGTTGCAAGAGTCCGAAGGAAATGTGGATAAATTGAAAGACAATTTAGCACACAAAGAAAAAGAGGTTAAAAAACTAAAAGAAGAGCAGGCAAGTGAAAATAAATTAATCCTAGATTTGAAAGAAAGCCTTGATAAAAGCACGGAGGAGATAAAGAAATACAAAGAGACGAAAGCGGCTCTAAAGGCGCTTGAAAAAGAAGCCGCGACCTTGGAGACAAAAGTAAGCTCTCTCGAGGAAGAGGTGCAGAAAAGTAAGGTGGAGAAGGAAAAGTTGACCAAAGAAAAGGTGGAGATGGGTCGAGAAGTTGAGAAACTGCAGCGTGAATGTGTCAGTGGCACAGACGCAGCCGTCGAGGTGAAGAAACTGACCAAGAGGTTGGAGACTGAGAGAGAAGACCGGAGGAGGGCGGAGACTGCTCTGTCCGGCAAGCAGGAAGAGGTGCTGCATTTAGAATCGCGGTTAAGGGAAACCGAAAGTAGGATTGAAGATCTGCTCAACCGGTTAAAAACTTTAGAAGAAATAAATAACGAGCTCAAGAGCCTTGACCTTGCTGACCTAAACAGCAGTAACAAAAGTTTAAGGGAGGAGAATAAAAAACTGAAACAAATGCTGGTGGAACGAAATATTGAGTTGACTAATAAAAATTTGGAACAACGGGATAATCAGACTCAAATTTTGTTTTTAGAACGAAAGAGCAAAGGGGCGAAAGTTGGCGTGCAGACAGTTTCTGGGAGTGAGCAGTCGGAGAAACGTCCAGCTGCAGCCGTGACTAGCTCCAGCTCAGACAAACACAACCCCCGCCAACCCAGGAATCGAGCCGGCAACACCAACACGTCTCGCTTTAAGCCGGACCCGGCCAACCCGAGTAAAACGGTGAGGAGCTTTAGCCTTGACGAGCCTCTAGACGATTTGGCAGATGACGAGTACAACAAATCTGCTGTCGTTTTTCCCATCATAGACTCAAAGACCGGCGCCCAGCTTGACCACCAGAGCGGCTACTTCAGTCTCTACAGGGACAAGATGAAACGGATGAAGGACAAAAGGTACTGACCAACTCTCTCAGTTTGTCGAGGAGAAACAGTACCGGACAACTTAGTTGGTAGATGAAAAACAGTACTGAACACATTCAGTTATCAGTTAAAGGCAAAGATACTGAGTACATATATCCATGAGCGATGGACAGCAATACTTATTACATTTATCAATGAGTGAAGTGGCAAATGTACTGAGTACTTTGCTCCTTCAGTTGTGGAGCAACGGCACTGAGTGCATTTATCAATCAGTGAGGTGTGACGATATAAAGCCGCTCTGTCCTTTATAAAACTTCACGTTATTATTGGACCAAGTGCCATTCTTAAACAAGGGAGAAACAGTGCTCAAAGCAAAATTGTTCATCAATTAGTTTGCTATTTAAAAAAAAACAAAGTAGCCACCTAAATAGCATGATATAAAAATCTTCAACTCTTATTGAGTTTTTAAAACCAGACCTACATTTCTGTTGATTTAACTGAAAAACTATTTCAGCAATGTTAGCACCTAAATAACTGTGATATGTTTATAATTGTTACAGCAAATTATTTATTTGTTCAAATTTCACATATATGATTTGCACCTTGAACTTATAACGTTTATTTTAATTAACGTTTATTAAATTACTAATGTAATAACTTGTCTCTATGCATAGCCTTAAGTCAATGTAAATCAGATCATCGAAGTTAATCACTCCCAAAAAGGGACGGCGCGTCGTCGAAGGGTAGATCCTTAAGTGTCGAGTCTGTCCACCCATCTCTGATGTGTGCCTGACACACATTAGAGAAAGTAAAGGCGGCTGGCACATGCCCTCCTTTCACAGGCCGATGTCACAGAAACACAAATTGTACTTCATAAACCTCATAGACCGCCAGATCCGTAAGGTAACTCGCTAAAGACTATTTTTAAAACATGTACAAGCACGATAAGGTTCAGTTACCTCCCTAGAAAAAAAGTTAAGAAAGTTCCTTCGGGGAACAGACAATATTGTTAGCCATCAACAGTTGTAGCACTTTGGGTCTGTGCTTGCAGAATGTCTTTAGGCACATGAGGTTTTAAGCTGAATGTCTTTAGGCCATCAGGTTCGTAAACTGCATGTCTTTAGTCCCTTGGCGTTTTCAGCAGGATGTCTTTAGGCCCAAAAGTTTTTAATCTGTATGTCTTTAGGCCCATGTGGTTTTAAGCTGAATGTTTTTAGGCTCATATGGTTTTAAGCAGAATATCTTTAGGCCATTAAGGTTCTTAAACTGTATGTTTTTAGGCCCATGACGTTTTCAGCATGAGGCATAGGACGGTTACTTGGGTTGTACAAAAAAAACCCTGCAAAAGCACACACGACATACCTGTAGCATTATCACAATAACCAATACTGGGTGTCGTATTTTTAATTTTACATTAGAATGTTCTAGAAAATTTTAAAATATACATATAATTATAACTTTAAAAACTAAACTATATAACAATTTCAACAACAACTTAAAATAAAGACGATATAAGGTTAGAAATAAATGCTTGCAAATTTACCTTTTTTATACACACACACACACGCACACACACAGACACACACACACACACACACACACACACACACACATATATATATATATATATATATATATATATATATATATATATATATATATATATATATATATATATATATATATATAAATTACTGTTCAGGCTAGAATAATATCAAAAGTTGAATACAAAAAATTAATAACACAAAAATATTTAAATAAAAAAATTTAATAATTAAATCTCGTCCATATTAACGTACCTAAATACACAGTCACGGACATGGAATGATATGAATATACAATACTTAAATATGAAAATAAAAATAAATTGCAATCGCCAGTGTTTTACTTAATTTTTTTAGCGCAATTTCCATACTGACAATTGCGATTATTAATTTGTTATTTCTGGATGGATGGATGGATGGATGGATGGATGGATGGATGGATGTGTGTCCGCAGCTTTAAGTCGTATCTCCTCCTCAACGAAGCAATATCGAGGACTAGTTCCAAAAGCAAATATGTTAAGCAAGTTCTGAGGATGATTGTGGGCGAAAAAAATTCCCGGAATTCCTTCCTGGATTTCCCGGAAAAGCCAAAAAACCTCGAAAAAATGCAGTTTGTGGCCCATATCTCGGCAACCAGACAACTTAGCGACTTGAAACATTTACCAATCGATTTCTGTCATAATTTAGAACAATATTGCCGAAGAAAGTTTTCAAAAATATCCTTTCGTTCGGTCACAAAAAATTAATTAAGGAAATTGCGCTTAAATGGTCACTAGACTTTTTATTAACTTGTTTTCTTTACGAAAGGTTTGGGTGCAAATCAAAGATGGCGGTTGTAAATTGTAATCGTTAACTTTTAATGCAGCGATTTTGTTCAAATTTTCCAGATACTTTTGTCTTCAGTGACAATGCATGAATATCTATTTCATAATTTAATTAGGTGTAATTAATTAGATGTAATTTAATTAGATGTAAATTAGTCACTGAAAATTAATTAAACGGTTTCGAAACTAAGGGACATAACAAGATTAATCGATAGATTACTATATTTAATAACAGAAGGGGAGATAACTAGCTGGACACGATCACCCTAACAGTCTGGTGAATTGTGTTTAATGCCAGATATTTCCAATCGTACATCCGGGTCGAATAAGTAAAGCATATTAGGGGCAGATAATATGGTTTAAAAACGGTTTGAAACTAAGAGGAGGTATTAAAATTAAGAGCAATCCTTTGATTTATCAGCTTGCTGTTTTAAGTAAATTGTGGTCAGGGACAGCTGCTTTGATGGACAGATATCGCGACCTACTGATGGTATTTAAAGCAAATATTTTCAGTCATGTCTATTTCATACATTAGGAATCAAGTAGAGAATATAACCAAAATTTTTTTTTCATAAAAAACGTTTAAATAACAAGCTTTTATGTAATAATGCATAAAAAGGGGAAAATAAATAAAAGCTTGTAATAAAAGCTGGTAAAAACCTTTATAGCAACAAGCTGTTAAATCCACTGATAATAAGAAAATAAAACCAACTTGCTTTCTTAATGACTTTGATCGCATGTGAGATCTTTTACATATTTATTGACAAAAGCTTTTTATTAAAGAAAGCAAATTATTTAGTTATTTCCAGTCAATTTAAAAGCTAGTTGCTTTAAAAGTGTTTATAACAAGCTTTTATTTAACTCACTTCCTCTGTCTGTCGTCAGCCCGTCTAGATCGTCACGCCCGAGCAAAATTACGAGCACTTCTAACTGACATATACGGTTCGTAGTTGGTATTGGGTCAAGACATGAAGACAATGCAACATGACATTAAATATGTCTTAGTTGGTTGCCTAATTAATTTTTTAAAAACTAATTAAAGTTTTGTTCAAATTAGTAGGCTGTCTCATCAAACTATTCCGCACTTTTAGACACGCGCCATCACGTTCATTAGGTGCGCAATGGTTTTTAGCCATGCAACTCGAGTATAAATAAAACATGTAAAGTACTGAAAAAATTCATAAAAAAAACGTTTTAATAACAAGATTGTTATGTAATAATGCACTAAAAAGTAGAAAATAAATTATACACTACTATATAAATACCTTTTTAGTGCATTATTAGATAAAAGCCTGTTATTAAAATATTTCTTATGAAATTTTTTATAATTGTTTTTAAAAATTCTCCCATGCTTCTGAAAAAATGTACACGCGATTATAACATAGGAATATTTAACTTAGTGAACCATTGTTTAAATCTCCCTTTTTAGCAGAGAAAATGTCTTTATATTTATTACATGGGGATATTTAACTTTGTGAACCGTTTTTAAAATTGTTCCATCTCCTGTAAAGAATGTGTATGATATAGACAACAGGGTTCAACGCTGAGTGAAGCGGAACGAAAAGTAATATCAACCAAGCGTATGAGTCAGGACCTATCACGTGCCCTCTGGCCGCCATGACACCAGCCACACCCACAGGTAACCAGCAGAGAAGATTAGAAAGGACAGTCAGACAGACGTGACTGGTTACAGTGACCTCTTGTGGGGAGATGTCAACACCTGATCGAGGAGGAAACAGAACAAATTTGAATATGAGAACTAGCCCTGTGAGGGTGAACATGCTGGTGGTGAGTCTAAATGCGATGTACGTGCTGAAGGCAAACCTCCACGCTGTGCCGTGTGTCACGTGTAGAGCCGGGTCTACACACATCGAGTTGAGTGAGTAGATCTGCCAGTTAGGGTGGAACAGTGGCACCACAGACAAGGCCACGCCCAACAGCCAGCACGTAACCACAGCTGACATGGAAGCAAACACGTGATCATCTAACTTGACTTTAAAGAACAACAGACACCGGTCCATCGTTAGCAAGAAACAAAAGATAGCAGACGTGAAATACGAGAGAGTAGCCTGGACACCTGCCACCCTACACAGGGAGCTGTCACGCCATTGTGTCACGTGTAACTCAAAGCTGTCACGATAGTGAATATCAACCCCTGCGATGACCGTTAAATAGATACTCATGATAAAATCTGAGAGATGGAGATTTAAGGACATGAAATCGCTACTTGTTTTCCAGTTAAAATTCTCATATAATAATTTTAGGACAAGAACGACAGGATTACCCATAAACCCAGAAACAGCAGCCAACCACAATACAGCACGTTTTACGGTGTCACCGATAAGATTTGCACATGACGAGATAGGATCTTCTGGTGCGAAACAATTATAAGCGGTGATTCCCGATCCTCTAAATTTATCGCAGCAAAATATAAAGCTATCAGCGTATATAGCCGAAGTGATGGTTATCTTATGTAACGTTTTCGACAACTCGGAATCTAGAGCAAGATTTGTGCGTCGTAAATCTAATATTTGGATGGTTGTATAGTTTTCTCCTTTCGTTGTAAGGGAATTTAACTTCGTATAACTAAGGTTTAGATATCGGAATGGTTCGAATGGGCTGTATATATCAATGCTGAATCTCTCTATCAAAGTAAATGATAGATCAATCCAAAATTTGCGATGTGTGTTTTTGAAAAATAAACTCTGGACAAAATGGTCGTCCACATCAGTGTGTGATATGTTTACAAAATATAGGTGTGGCATACCCGATAATAACTCGCTAAAATAATCAGGGATTGTTACATTAGAAAATGTATTTAAACTAATGTCGAGATGATTAATATGGTATTTACTAATCCACAACACAAGCATGATGGTTTTAAATGCATCCAAACTTAAACTGCAATTAGATAAATGTACTTCATAAAGTTGATCAATTCTAACCGATTGTACGACACCGAACCACGTTAAATTGAAACCCGATAAATGTAAGACTTTAGTTCTTGGATCAATTGAGTCCATCATGTTAGAGTAATCCACCAGGTCGAGATCTGTGACTGCTGTGACGCCCCATTTACAGGTAAACCCTAACGGACATTTCTCAAAACAGTTCATTTCGTCATCACCCCTGGGACAGTGTGGGTGACCGTCACACACGTGAACAGGGTGAAGCAGGATATAGGAGTTGTGACACTGGAATAAGCCGGGTCTGGAGATCTCGTTGTAGATGTCTTCGTTCTCGTCATCCCCCTGGGGACAGTCCATGGCACCGTCGTTCACCATGTAGAGAGGGATACAGTAGGAGTTGCGGCACTTGAAGAAGCCATCCATACAGACAAAGTGTTGACAGTTTTCTAAATGAGACAAATCTCTGCAGCCAATGGGTTTCTTGCTGTAGCGGCCTTTGAGATGGACACAACGTGGGGAAACTCTGCTGACCATCGACTCAGATTCAGGAAGTTCAGATATAGCTGGCTGAAATTTTTCATTTTTACAAATTGTCATCACTGCTTTCGGGAAATGCGGGATGATGCATTCGTCTTCTCTGCATACCAAATCAGGATAACAAATTTTGTGCGATGCTGATTTTAAATCTCGTGAAACATCTTTAGACCAAAGACTCGGCAAACATTTTCCATCGGGACATGTTGTTTCCATGCAGTCAATACAGTTTGTTTCGTCACTTTCACGAGGACAATCTGGTACACCATCACAGTGACCCTCTATGTTATAACAAACTTCTTTTACATCTCTGTCACACAGAATATCCTTGTTAGAATTCAATTTGCAAAAACACGGCTCTTCATCCCGGCTGTTCCGACAGTCGTATCTCCCATCACACACAAAGCTGTACGGCACTTCTTCTGATCCTTCACCACATGCAAACATTCGAATATTTTCTCGCTTTATTTTATCCAAAGTAGCCCTCTGTTTTACTACACTGACCCTATTCTCGATCTTTTTCAATGGATTTGTTGACAGGCCTAGGTCAAGTTCGCAGATGATCACTCGTGCCTGATTGGTGCTGAAAGACACCCTAACTTTTGAAATGTTGTAGATATCTCCGACGTGGACCATGGAACTGTTCAATATAAATTCTACTGCAGGGATTGATTTTTCGATCCTGCTTTCTTGTATAAACTTATATAAACCATAGAAAAATGGGAGTGTTTCCCTCCAATATAAAATTACATTTTGTTTATTATATGAA